AGAGTATATGTTAATTACGTTTAAAAAATAAACGATGTATATACTATAGATAGAGCTATTTCTCTATATTCTGTTTTTTCATTCAACAATATCGAAATACAAAGGAGTTTTAATCATGCCACGTCGTTGCAACTTTACAAATAGCTTTTGCGATCATTGCGAGATGAAATGTTTTTCGACCGTAACGACGTATAACCGGCGAAACGTTTCGGTCGAAGTAACTCCTCCGGCTTGTCTTCCTCCTGCTCGTTAAATGTAGTTAGAAGGTACCTCAAAATTGCAAAAGCAGGGAACGTAATTTCTCTCATAACTACGTTACATTCTATTAAGGCACTGCCTCTCTCTTTCACTATGATACTAGGGAACGTGCCCGACGTACAGCTACCACCTGGTCGCTCTTATACCCTTCTTCTTCCTTAATCGATCGAGCTTTCGGCGTAAGCTTCTCAGCGTTGAAAATGAGCCTCTTATTTTCTTTTCCTATCCCGAGACGGTACCTAGTACCTAACTATTACCTATCTACCTATCGTGCGAATTGCTTTCGTTATGTACAAACATACAATACGTATCGCGTTTAATGTAAAGTACATACGTATGTAATATTTAGGTATTTCGATAAGGGAAGTTTTATGGAACTGGATATTTTCGCATAAGCGAACTCGAAGAACTTTCTCTTTTTATTCTCTCCGTGGTGCAAGAAGAAAAAAAAAGCCAAAGCATTTTATACGTGTTATTATCGCAAAACATAGATAAGAGAACATATTTTACTCGATACAAGTACTTAAATATATGGCAAGGTTCAAAATTTAATCACCTCTTTTTACAAATCATAAAAGAGATTTTATTTTATTGCAAGCACTGTATAATATCATTGACCTACTCCTTCTCTTCATTCATTATTATCACCTCCTTCGCTTAAGTTTTGGAATAATCCTATATAATCAAAACGAAGAGTAGATTCTTGTCGAAAACTCGATTACGGAGAAACGAATAAGGATAAAGAAAGTTTAGTCTTATTGGGGATCTACATCTCCTCGTCGTTAAGTTAATTTCTCGCGTTCTGAGAATCTTCTCTCATTGTGTTTCGAGTACGACGTTGAAAAATTCACCAACGTTATCTACACGATCGGTAGAGCGTAAAACGAACGAACGAACGAACGAACGAACGAACGAACGAACGAATGAACGAACGCGCACGTATCGTACGTAACGTTTTTGATTTTATTTTTGTTGGAAGCCTTTTGCTATTAATTTACTCCGCGGCAGTCTAATTCCGGCAGAGGTATCGAAATTCACTGACACGAATCGGCAAGCGCCATTTTCCGCGGGTGCGGACTCGAACGACCTACTTCGTTTGAACAGTTATTTATGACTTTACCGGAGGATAGAAGCAATCGTACGTTAATCGAGTTTACGAGTCTGCCCATCTACATTATTCAAATCAATCTGAGTATCCATAGATTTACGTTGACAATAAACGCGATTCTCCCTTCCATCGATCTCCTTCCGGTCGTAAGTTTTCGTTTCGGGGGCAAGTCATTCTAATTCCTCCATGTGTCCTTTAAGACCGCAATCATCGATCAATAAGAAAAATACGAACATTCTCAAATCGAATTAATCTAAGATAGTAGTTGATAAATAATTCCTGTAAACGTAAAACAATTTATCTATTAAGTAATTGTAATTGTTTAAGAATTATAAGAATTAAAGGTATCTTGTTAATATGTGTTTTAATACTTTCAATCCATGATGGATATAGGATAGGGCTCATATATAGAAAAATAATCCAACGTCGCCGTGTCTGTAATGCAAGCAATGAAAAAATGTTAGTGCTGTAAGAAGAAGATAAGAGTATAATATGTACGTGTCGTGATATAAGGAGAACGCTGAAGATCGGCTTGGAGTCTCCCTCGATAGTAAACAAAGGACTAATCTATCCGTTCGATACCTCACCGGCTGTAAACTCAAAGCTTTGTTTACATTCGATGCTTATTTGTCATTCAAAGTATCGAATACGTTCAAGCGTATAACCATGAACAAAGAATAATCCATTATATTTATTAATTTTTCGGACACATACCAGTATGTGTATTTTACTATATATTATATTTACCATTAAAAATATATATTGCATTGTTAAATTTATAACAGCTAATATATAATCACAAGATTGTAGAGTATTCAAGTATAAAGAGTAAAAGTTGGTGGCAATGTAAAATCAAGAACGTAGATTATGCTAAATTTAAATAAAAGCGTGCACATCGTTGGTACGCTCGAGATCCGAGTTAATTATTGCGCTTCTCGCCGTTTAATTTCTCCACGTTGCGGAATTACAAAGTGAAACGTAGGTACGTTGACCTTCCTCGTTAAAATCGCAAGCTTTCGTGTGAAGGGCCGACCCTCAACTTTGGAGAATTTTGTCGGTGCTAATGGCGCCAGGAAGGAGAAAAGGAGCAACTAGATAGAAAGAGGAAATGAAGAAAAAGTAAAGAAGGTCGACTCTCGTCGTATCGATTCTCGAAAGCTTTTATATAATCTCGAAAGAAACGTCCAAGTCTATCTTTAAATCTCGTTTGTATGCGCTTTGTCCTGCCGGCTATTTTCTTTGAGGGATCAATGTTTTCCTATCATCGCGATGATACGTACGATTTCGAGAGCAACCGCCGTTCTTGTTCCGCTTCCTTGTAGATTTTCGTTTCCTCCCTCGTGCGATTCTTTCGTCCTCCTTTATTCGATACTTTCCTAGCTTCGTTGTAAGCCAGACTAAATCCGCTGCGGATGTTATCTTCGAAGCTCACGGAAATAAGTGGATTTGTCCAGCTGCCATGCCGGACTTCGACTTCTTTCTTACATCCCCCATGTTCTACCTCCTCTTCCCTCTGGTTATAAACTCCGAGTGAAAGTTTCGATAAACCTCGACGACAGTCGATTTTTACTTCCATGATTCACCCCGTCGTCGTCTATAATCTTCTTCCCTTTACTCCTTTAGCTATTGTCTTTACAACTTCCACCGCGTTCTTTAACTTCTTCTAATTCGTTCGATCATCCACTTAATCTTATTCCTCGATCACTCGCTCTTTTAGTAATAAACGTCTCTGATTTTTCAAGATGCCTTTTTTAACAAACGTCTTTTCGTTTCTTCGACTAAAGATAAGGAAAAGCTCTTTCACCCTAGACAAAATGTCATATAAAAACATTACTAAGAGAGACGCGAGAAAAGGGATCGGTTTCTAAAGCACCATAACCATATATATAAGTATATAAATACGTACAAGATTTACTCCCGAAACTTCAAACATTAGCGTGTTTTTCTTATGGTGCCTTAAACCGTGAACTACGAGCTTATTATCTCGCACCATTCAACGTACTCGAATCTACATTCAAGATGAGAAAGAACCATACACTTTTCACGAAAAAGTATGGAAAAGTAAAAAAGATCGCAAAGTAAAAAATTGTATTTATATAAGAAAAAGTGAAAATTGACGATCGATATGTCAGATACAGGAAGTTTCGTGTAATCGTGCATCGATTCGTTGTATATTATCGAAAGAAGATTTCCAATTTTTGATAAATACATCGAGGTCGAGAAGTCGAAATGAATAATAGTTAGAAACAACGTTATATGATGAAAATTTTATTTAAAACGAGATAAAGAATCGTATTAGGTGTCACGAAGATACAAAAGTTGGGAGAGAATATTGCAAGGCTATACGTTTTACCCGTTTGTGGAGACGTACAAAAGTTGTCTAGGACTGTTAAACCTCGCTAGAGTCGATGCGTGTAAAAGTTTAATGTGATCGAGTTAGCCGCAGTGCAGCAGCAATTGTGGTACCTTCAATTCCCCTTCCTTAGAAATCTACTCGGTTACCGTTCGAGCTATCGAAAGTCGTGGATTACTGTTCGCTTTTCGTTGTATGAGAATAGCACTTCCGCGCTTGCGGAAGAAAAATAGATCGCGTCCGGATATACTCCCTCTCGAGAGAGATAACTTTTGTATTTTTGAAGAAGATTTTACCGGTCGAAAGTTTCTCGCATCGATCTTCCATTTCTTTTAAGAGCTTATCGAAAACTTTCGGGACACCGTATATAGATTTTATATCTGTCGCGCCTTCGAGAATGATTCTCGCGTTATTCTTTATCGAACTAGAAACTTATTCAAGTAGATATAATTTTTTTACTCTACTTCCCTCTCCCTCCCCCCCCCCCCCTCTCTCTCTCTCTCTATCCCTCTAAGAAATCTTTCAACTATTCCATTTAAAAATGTCGACGCGGTAGTAAAATTTGGAATTCCTCTCTTACCCTACTATATTGGGTTTTCCTACAGAAAAGACTGTCTTTCCCTCGCGACCGTAACGCAGGCACGCGGTGTAAACAACGACAGACGCTATATTTGCATATTTGCATTAACAAAATGGATAGTCTCATTTGCATATTGAGCACTTTTCCTCCTACTTTTTTCTCTCTCTTGTTTTTCGTTTTCTTTTCCTTTTTTTTTTCTTTTTTATTTTTCAAAAACAAGATCATTGTATCCATATAATATACGCGCATGAGTATACATACGTATTAACGTTGTACCTTTAAAACTACGTCATGGTTGTCTGTATGGTCGTTGAAGATAAAAAAAGAAAAGAAAAAACAAATAAATAAATAATTTCCCTTTAATCGAGAAAATCTTGTCGATGCATATATATTTTCTTTCATTAGCGTTCCTTATTCGATATTTGGTCATTGAACTGTCTCAACGATCAAACGTTCGATTAAAACTACACAAATTGAGTCTGGATAAATTTGTTCGATTTAAAACCACGAAGATATATAGAAAACGATATAAGCTGATGGAAAGACGAAGAAATAAAGAAAAAAGAAAAAAAAAGAGGAACGAGCTATATTTCGAATATAAATTCCATTTCTCGTATGAAAAAAAGAGGACCATTAACTCCGTCGCAATCGAAATAACCAAATGCATCAAATATCTTTTTTTAATGCTCGCGGTCTCGATCGTATTGTAACATTTCGCAATCTGCGAAGCAATAAATTCTTTTCCTTGCCTCTGAGCGATTTTCAATGCTTTTTCAGGAGGTTACTTCTCTCTCTCTCACACACACACACACACACACACACTCTCTCTCTCTCTCTTTCAGAGATCGTGCTCGCGTGAACGGGCAGTGCAGCAAAGTAAACACGCGTGTACTCGTTTGCGAGCACGCGCTATCGTAAATCTGTCGATGAAGCATTCATCGCGAAAGTTATGCATCTCGAAAGTTTTCCTACGGTAAAAGTCGGTCCAACTTGAATGGACGCATCGATCACGTATTCCGAATGCGTCTCTCTCTCTCTCTCTCACCCTTTCCACTTTCTTCTGCTTCTCACCATGCGATTGCCACCCCTCAGTACACTCTTCTTAACTATGGTCGTTCGCAAATCGATCCATCAAGGTTTCGTGAGTCACGAACACCGAAGTAGAAGATACTTCAACCTTCTGACAATCAAAATGGACATCCCTGTTATACCCATCAATCCGCTGAACTACACCCTCCTGAGACTCTAAGTAGACCAAAAAGAAACTTTTTAATCAGTGAATAAGTATAATTAATAATACCTCGACAGGATAATAAGGACGTTTGTGATGGTGCCAAAATGAGAAAGAAAAAATAAAAGTAAATAGAAAAAAAGTCTACCCATTATTTTAATATTATTTCAATGTTATCGATAGAACTGAGATAAAAATCGATACGTGGAATATTACTGATAAATATTACTCGAAAAAGTTGCACGGATTAGACGTATTTAATTCTCGCCGTAAAAAGTATGGCTTGCCATATATGCGAAAATTGATTCGATCGTTGGAAAAATTTTCTTTTCGACTATATTTAGTGAAAGATACAAACGAAAGGGTCCGAATGAATCCAGATATCGTGCGGTTGTTCGAACCATTAGTATTACCAGATTTAATCCACTATAGATATTTTTAACGTGTAAAACCAGGGAAAATTAAAATTTCGTAGATCCGCAAAAGCAAAACAAGACTTTTATCTCTACCTTGGCAATATCGTTTGCTTTATTGGAAAGAGAACATATATTGCTTATACGTGATATATAAACGTACTACTAAAACTTTAATATTATATAGATATACAATCCCTAGAGCAGATACGGATATGTGATGAAAAAAAAAAATATATGTATATGTATTTTTTTTTGATTGAGCGAGGCGAATTTTCAAGGCTTTTATATTTAATCATTACCTGCCGTTTGTATATTTTATACTGCATCATACATCCTTCTCTTCTATGGTAAAGTTAGTACGAAAAACAGAGACCAGCCGGATGTTTCTATAACAGAGTGCAAAGATAGCCGAACGTGAAAGGAAAAATAAGCGAATGGAGGTAATATCTTTGTTCAAATAACGTGAAATTAATTCGACTTCCTGGTTGAAACACATTGGATACTGACCGATTCCTATTGACTTCGAACTATGAACGATAGTCATTCTGTTCCTTTTTTAATTTAATTTTCCATTCACTTTTTATTGGGAAGCAAAAAATATTGAAGAATAATCCGACGTAACGTAACATAAACTAAAACAAAGGAACCATTTAATGAATTAATTATCTTTTATCGATTAGAAACATTATATTAGATATTCAGGTTATTAGAATAAATTTGTCATTGAATCGAAAGAAATCCATAAAGAAATGGATCTCTAGTACTGCTGGTCCAAGAAAATTTGAACGGCCGTTTCACGTGGTGGTAGTGGCTTTTAAACGGAACACCCAACAGTCATAAGGTTCGGCCGTGCGGAAAGCTATTTCCGCGTGGTAGGGCGCTCGTGTGCACGCTGCCGCCGCAGAAAACGAGCGGCACTTATGCAGGAAGCCAGAGGGGAAACCGCGTTAATGAAATTGCCGGAGCAAACACGAGCGTAATTCGAAACCGCTGATACAATATTTAATTGAATTCTTAGAGTCGTACCTTCGAGACACTGCTCGTTTCATACGTTCCTTTTTTCCACGATAATAGTAATTTTCAAGGTCTCACCTTTAATAAAAATCATCATTATTACTCGATCGATTTTAAACTAATTTGTTTTATTGAAACGAACGATCGATGAAAAATTTGAGCGTGACATTTATCTGATACGGATTAAATACATGATATAATTAATATGATTAATAATATACTCACTCGTTCCGACAAAAATCTAATGAATTACATCAGAATATTTTGCTTATTCTTCTCTGTTTTCTTTTAGCGCATCGAATGTTTCCATTATTTATTTTCTTCTTAGAATCTAAGATGAACAAAAAGATATCTTCTTGGCTTCGAGAAAAGGAAAGGTATATATATATATATATATATATATATATATACCTAGAGAGAGAGAGAGAGAGAGAGAGAGAGAGAAAGAAAAGATGAAAGAAAGAGTACATGGCTTCTATTACAAGTAGAAAAGGGGAACGTACCAACACGATTGACACAAGATGCGAATCTGTCGCTAGTAGATAAATAAAGCAGCAACGAGTATACTCTGCTTTTATCGTTAATGCTAAAATAACAGACCCCGGCCACGAGGCAGTTTATTTTTCCTCGTAGTGCTTTTGAACTATCGTCCTCTCGTTTCTTCTTATGAAATCAAACATGCAAAAGGAATAAGGAGGCGGCAAAGGAGGAAAATTCAAAGATGATGCGGAATATGTTTTTTTCTGGTTAGATATGAGACGTAGTCAAATTTTTTTCCTCCTTTTCTCTCTCTCTCTGTCTCTTCTTCCTATCTACTATAGCTATCTTTCTTTTTCTTTCGCTATTTCGTATATCGATGCAAACTTTGGCATGCAGATTCGAAAGAGGAAGAACATAGAACTCGATGACTGTGTTATCGACCATTTTCGAAAGGTATTCTCAGAGAGTAAAAGATTTAATGAAATGGGCAGAATAAGTTATCCTTATCGTAAGGAATTTAAATTCCCTTGAAATTTCTATCGTGCACTACGTACGGTATTATATTTTATTTTAATAAAGATAATTTTTGTCAATTAAAAGGTACGTGGAAAAGGAAGAATCGATCATTCTCTTTCATTTCTTTGTTCCTGAAAAGCTTACCAAATGCGCCGTCGCAAAACTATCCGTGCAAGAATATACGTACGCGCAGAAAGAAGTTGTGGTCTATCTATCGAAGTCTTGATAAACAGCCGACCCTTGTTACCGCAGAGCCATTATTGGAAAAATTAAGAGGACCATTCATCGTTCGAGCTATACTTCAATCTAAAAACAAAAAAGAAGAAGAAAAGAAAAAAGATTAGAGCGGACTTTTCCCCTTTTTCCTTAGTGCAAAGACTTCATCATTGCAAATTGTACGAAAAAATTAATTTTACGATGTTTCTATTCTTTCCCCATAGATTCATTTTGCTTTTACATATACGAGGCATTCAGAGATCTCGTGTGTGTTTGTGTGTATATATATATATATATATATATGTATACATATATATGAGAAAATCTTAGACGGGAGTACGAGAGGAATGGAAACATAGTTCATTCCTCTAAGAGAGTACGAATATAGGAACGTCAAAAGATTCCAGGTAAATCTGCACGTGTGAATCGTGCAGGCTTTTGTGCCAAGATTCTCAGCTCATAGAATACAGATGAATCTGTCGGCACTTTTCACTTACTACGAACACGAAGACCTCGTCGAAGTGAAGCTACGACTCTTCTGTGCCGTTGGATATCTCTCCCTTCTATGAGCTTTTCTCTTTTCTCTTTTTAGCCTTCTCTCACAGCATGCCACCTTTCTCTTTATATTTCTTACAAATTTTTCAACGATGATACCAAAATCTCTCCTTTCGATGGCACTGATCAAGTTCCATCGGGCACCATAAAGAAATAAGCCTTCTCGACGAGTCATCCCTATCTCCACGAGAGAGTAAACGTTACCCTTGGATATCTCCTCGCGGTATTAGAAAGGGCGAAAACAGCCTATTCAGACGACCAACTCGCCGTCAAAGGGCAACACGACACGACGGTATCCCGTGTACGCGCCTACGCTCCCTTTATTAAATTTCTAATAACGGAAATAATTGTTATTGAGATTCGGCTTGAAGAGGGTGATGTTTGGCCGGTCGAAAGAGACTGGAAAGGGTGGAGGATGCGAAGGGAGAAGCCGCCAATGACAACGACGACGACGACGACGACGACGACGACGACGACGACGACGACGACGACGACGACGACAACGTCTATGCCGGTCTATCTGAAAACCCGGGGATAGCTCGATAATTCCATTTAATGTCTGCGTTCTTGTCTTCAACAACGACGACCAAAGACCCTCTCGACCCTTGTGTTTCAGGAAACCCTCCTCTCCAGACCGAAATCAAACTCAACGTGAGTCTATGGACTTAAGTCGAGCCATCTCTCGACATTGCTAATGGCAATGGGAAACAGTACCTTGCGTTATTATAGTTATTGTAGTTATATAAATATGTAGACATACATCGTATGTACGTCGATCAGGTAAATACGAGTATCAGGAAACGATTGTACCAAATAGACTTGCATTATCTATATCGATCCGTAAGATGCGTCGAACGTTTCTACTCTTGAGACGAACGTGCGAATATGTATTCTACGATATCCGCTTACATCACGATAATAACCAATTATCGGTATTAATTGATAACAAAGCCCGAGATATTACCGCTTGATGATATAATTCGTAACATACGATCGATCTAAATCACTTTGCGTGAAACGCGCTTCCATAAATATAGATGTACGTATACTCCTATTATATCTAGGCATATCGGCATAATTACGATCTAATTTAATCGGTATATCAATGCAAGCCATTAAAGTTCCATTTAATTTTCATTAGGAATATTTGTCGTTGAGTTTCTACGAAGGATTAAATCTACGATTAGTCCATATTTACGAAGGACGTGGATTTCTTCGAAATAAAAATAAATCGAATAGAGAAAGGAATTCGTAAATCGTAGTACTTTCCTGGGAAAATAATGTAAAAAAAGGAAAAGATGAATGAGTCGCAGCAAGCGTGTGTCGCGTCATCGAATTCATCCGCTTTCTGGCGAGGGTCGGTCGTTTCATTGGCATTGCAGATGACAAATCGTGAGTAGCATAGAGCGAGATCGCAGTCCGAGATCACAGTAAACATAGGTTGCGGCGTGCCATTAGTCGGTTAGAGAGGAATTCCGTGTTGCTCCATTCTAATCAACCAACGTCGGCGTCAGCATCGCCGCCGCGCCAATCAATTGCACACTCCGAAATCTCCCTTGTGGCGCCCACCACCTTCCACTCTCTCTATCTCTCTCGGTCCCTTTGGTCTCTTTCCTATCTTGGCGCTCTCCTACCCTAAGCCTCGCGGCGCTGTTTTACCCTCTAGAGGATTAGCTAATGGTCCGTCCGCTGTTTTATCGAACAGATTCGCAGTGCTCCAGGCTAGAGAACGTAAAATGTAGAGTGAAAGGACACGGAGCGAACGCGAACGAATGGAAAATCCGAGATACTCGAGAAACGAACCGGCGCGACCCTTTTCTCGCGCTCCCGGTACCTCTTGCTTTTGTCGCCGATCCTTGCGCTCCTTCCATTCTCTACGCTCTTCCCATCCTTTCTCGACCGAGTTTATCGCCCACTCCCCCACATCTTTCCTCCCTTTCCTCGCCTTTTACAAGCACTGCTTTTTTCTTTCGACTCTCGTATAAAAATTAAATTCTCCTCTCGTTCGTCCTTCTTTCACATTTTTCACCTCTCTTTCCTTTTTTCTTCTTCTTCTTCTTCTTCTCTTCTTATTCCGTGCTCGCCATTCCATCGGAATATTTCTTTTCATTTTACAACTTTTCCCTCGCTCGCGTATTTTCCCTGTTGAAAAGCAAGTCCGTACCGTTCGAAAGAATCTCAGCGATCTTTCGTTTACCATTCCAAATCGAAGAAAAAGAGAAAGACGCGCTCGAATCGTCGATTTATTAGTTGCGCAATCGAAACATGGATTTCTTTTCCATCAGAGATTTTGTCTAAGATACGAACGTTCGTTTCAACCAGCGAGATCCGAAATCGAAAACAAACGATTCGACGTCGCATTCGGACAGGGAACGAATCGGTTTCCATCAGACGAGTCAACCGAGCCTCTACTTTACGTATTCCGTCCACGACAGGAACGACGATTCACGCGGGGTGAAAGAGCGGTCGAGTGGGCGAACGAATCAGGGAGAAAGAGAACGAGAAAGAGAAAGAGAGATAGGGAACGACGGAGGGAGAAGATTTCAATGGCAAGCAAATAGCACGAAGCGTGGCCAATGGGCTTTCCCTTTGATTAAATGTAAATTGTGCGGGGAACGCGATTAGTACTCCCGGCACTTCGCCTCCGGTCTTCAATCGTTCCATGCCCGAACGCGGTTGTACTCTTACTATAAGCGCAAAGTGCCTCGACCGAGATAGCTAGAGGTAGTAGCAGTGGGAAGATCTCGTTGGCTACCAGCCCGCATCGGCCAGAGTCAGGTTCGGGAGTATGAGGAGGAGGAGGAGGAGAGAGAGAGAGAGAGAGAGAGAGCGAAGAGAACGGCAAGAGGAAGAGAGAAGGCATCCAAAGAAAGGAAATCAAATTGATCGGCACGATCGCCTCAAAAGTCGAACCATTACATTTACGGTCTCGCTCTCCATCGGCCATTCATTCCAACTAGCTCGCGGCCGCGTGTTCGCTCGAATCGGAACCTTTACGGACCCACTCGACCGCCTTCGAACTTCGAAAAGCGTCGAATTTTTTATCATTAACCTCCAACCGATTTACGAATCCACGTTCCAACCTTCGACGGAAGTTCATTTTCCTATAGTCGAGAACCAATTCGTTCGAGCGTTCTTCTCTCGCATGGAAAATATTGCCCCCGTTCCAAGTCGACCAGTTATCCTCACCGAATTTCCAAAGTTTTCGCTTTTTCAATGACCACCCATTCGAACTATGAACGAACATTATTGTTGCTTAAAACTAAGTTTTCATATATTTGCGTTCGGACGTCCCTGGATAAAAATTTCGACTACGAATTATCTGTCGATAGAAAATTTCTTCGTCGCGTTGCCGGTCGATAGTTTGCGTACAAAGAACCATCGGAAAATTTTCTATTGTCGTATAGATCAAACAAAAAGCGCACTTAATTTGTTTTATTACCACACTTGGCTAACTCTCAACCGTTTTTTTTTCGTTCGAAATACTCTCTTTTAGATTATGTTTTATATAGAAGGCTGCATATTTTTCCATATCTTATAATTCATCAAACGTAGGTAATAGTAACACCTCTAAAAACATTGTCATCCTAAAGCGCGTTGACGATTTATCGGTATATAATTACGGACAGGAAAAAAGCAGGATTAATTAGGTTCCCGTTCAATAAACGCTACCAACAAATGACACCATTGTGGTGTCAGCAACAATCGTAGTGTTAACATTGGAGTAATAATATAGCAAAATAATGTCACTATAGGCGACGACGTGCAATCATAAAGAGTCAAATAATCAAAGTAACACCCTTACCTTCTGGCTTTCATATCCGTTTATGCGAAATCAAATCACTTCTGATGCATGACAGCCGATTGATCGTTGACAAAGGCGCGCGGCGTTTCATTCTATGGAAATGATCGTGAACGGAGCTGCAAAGAGACCATAAGGGCTATTGATTCGTACTCGTAGTCGTCGTTTGTAGAGTGAAAAAAAATGTTCATTAATATAGGTAATTCAAAAAAATAATAATTCGATTAAAGATTAAAATTTTTCTTTTTTAAACCTCAGACACGTCTACTTTTTGGTGGAAACAACTATTTTTGGAAACCTCGTTCGATAGAGAGAGCTTCGTAAATCCATGGCGAACGAAGATACAAAGAAAGAGAAAAAAGAGAGGGCCGTAAGAGCCTGCCGAAAAAATTTGCATTTAAATCGTCGTGGCGTTTACGCGTGACACCCTCGAACTCGGTTGGGAGAGAGAGGAGAGATAGACAAGAAGAGAGTGAGAGAGAGAGAGAGAGAGAGAGAAAGAGAGAGAAAGTGGGATGGCACGAGAGTGTCCACTCGATTACGTTTCTCGGTCGAAGAGTATACAAAAGGGCTGTGAAAGCGGGACATGGAAGTGACGGTGATAAAAATCCGGTCCATGTAGGCAAGAAAGAACCGAAGAGAGGGAGGAAGGAAGGACGAGTGGAAGGATGAAAGAGGTAGGAAGAGGGTGGAAAAGCACGTCGAGAGGAACACCGTTGCTCGTTTTCTCTCTCTCTCTCTCTCTCTCGTCCTCGAGGGGAATGAAAGTGTAGATGGACGCTGTGCCCGGGTGAATTGGAGAGAACAGTGGTATAAAGAGAGAGAAAGAGAGAGAGGAAAAAGGTGGAAGAGAAGGAAAGCGGAGGTTGCTCTTATTATACCGACGTGACGTCGTTTAATAAATTATCACGTACGCACGGTAGGCTCGCGTTCAAAGTGGCATTTCAACGGAAACAAAGCTGAAATAAATAGCTGAAATCGAGGTTGGCGCTGTGTTTATCGCGCTAAAAGCTCCCCAGAAATTTTATGAAGGCACATTCGCATCGTATATTCACCGTTCCCGTAAGCCGAATTCATAGTATTAAAACAAATATATATATATATATATATACATATATCAAAGATTATAAAATTTTTCTTGTCTCGTTACTATATATTTATTTGAAAAATAAGTAGAAAATTGAAAAATGGTCGAGTTGAAAGGCCGATTAAATGTTATAAATCTTTTATTTTATATCTAACTCGAAAATATCGAAACGATCGCTATGATAGAATATTCGTCGAGAACGAAGCAAGCGAGAAGAGAAGGGATCGGCTTTCGGCAAGCGGCTCTCAATGTTCTCTGAAAAGGGATAGATATCGGACTAGTGAGTATTGTTATAGCTGAGAAATTGAAGTTTTCTGAGATCGGACGAAAAGAGCTTCCCTTCCTTCGTCGACTTCCATGGGATTTCGGGAAATATTACCGCGCGCGTGTCTCCCGTTTCGTTCTGAAGGAATGAGAGAAACGGGACTATATTTACGAGAATAGTGATCGTTTCTTCTTCGAGACGAAACCATTACGAAAGGTTTTATACTACCGATGCAGGGACGATTTTGTTGGTATTAAAATTGTACGACGTTGAGGGAGATTTCTTCTCGACAATGGATGATAATCGATAATACAAGCTCGTACTCGGATCTAAATTGGATAGATAAAATGATGAAAATAAGAAATATTCTCTCTCGTTTTCCATGCAAATTCTACCTAACTTTTTCGCGTATTATAGCAAGAAAAGAAAGCGTATACGATAACGTGTAGACATCCGGGAGCTCGTATACGATAAAGAAATTTTCATCGGGTGTATTCTCCATCCTTCACGACGTCGCGCAGCCTTGTTGCAATTTTCCTTGAAAGCTCGACGCCAGCTATACAGAGGGGGGAAGAGAGAGAGAGAAAGAGAGAGAGAGAGAGATAAAGAAGGAGAAACGTACGGCTTGGCCAAGGGTATGCTCCATCTTGATTTTTCGTAATTTTAGAGAGGATGACGGAAGATGGCTATGCCGCTTCCCTCTTTCCGTCGATCGATAGGCAGCCGTCTATTCCCTCGGGACGAAGATAAATATCTATATTCATCCGTTCGCGCTCTATAATCAGAGAACGTCCGTACGAAGCGTAGCAGCAGACACGAAGAAGAGCGTCGTGACGCATCGCGTCGTTGTCTTCGTTGTCGTCGTCATCGTCGTCGTCATGGTCGACGTCGTCGTAGTCGTCGGCGGCCTCGGGGCCTTGGATAGCATCTGTCTATCGGTGCCTAGTATTGTTTACGAGAGTGACGCCGTCGCGACGTCCAACACCCTCCCTCACACCCTTTCTCTCTCTCTCTCTCTCTTTCTCACTCTTTCTCTCTTTCTATCTCCCTCTCTACGATCTCTCTCCGGAAATTAAATACCCCCTGAAAAGCGAGAAAACGAGAGCGAAAGAACGGACGGAATTGCGGGCAATTCGCTTTCCGATTTCTCTCCGCGCTTTTACCAAAGCTTTCACTAAAGCCACGTTTCTCGATCGACGCCTATACAATGACAGGAAATTTTTTCTCACCGATACGTTCGTTTGGACGATCCATCGATATTACCTGCACGTTAACTCTCCAGAACGCGGTTTACGTAAATTCCATACAATTGTTAATACCATATGTTTCTAATAATACCACCTTTTTTTGTTTCTTTTTTCTCATCATTTTCCTTTTTTTCTTTTATTAAATGTGTTACTCTTCCTAATGAACAGATTCGCAAATAATATGAAAAAAAAATAAAGGGCGAGAACCGGTACCGTGAAAAAAATAAAAACAAAAATTTTTTCTCCATGTAATTTTTTTCCACGTGTAATTAGCCAAATTAGAAAAACTACGAGATATTGGTAGGTACGGAGGTTAGGCGGTGGCCTTGCCCTTAAATTCAAATTAATTCGCACTAAAGAACAACCTAAAGGTATAGCCAGGGTATACCTGCTACGTATAGGGGGGACGATCTCTCTCTCTCTCTCCCTTATTTTCTTCCTTCTTTCCGTTTCCTTCCTTTTTCTCTCCCCCTCTATCATTCCCCTCTCTCTTTTTACGAAGCATTTCTGGGAGGGCTGACTGACAAGGTTTCGCCATTTCCGTGGCGCGTCCGGTAACGAACTTCGACCTCGATAAACTGGCAAAACACTTCGCGCCACTGCCATAAACTTCTTCGTCTCGTCGTTCTTTTATTATTTTATTTGCCTTTACTCTGAGCACGAGCTTCGTCTTTCTCTTTCATCGGGTATTTCAAAACTTTGATACTCTATATCCATCTTATTTTCAATCCCATTTTGCAAGAGAATTTTATCCTTGTCCCGAGTTTCTATTCGCTTTATTCTCGCAGTGATTTAACGAAATTAGTCGAGAAACGGAGAAAGGAATGCTTCACGGTCTTTGGAGGTCGTTGAAAGAACTTATGATCTAGCTTTCGAGAACAAAGCGTCGAGAACTACGAAGAGACTCTCTCTCTCTCTCTCTCTCTCTCTCTCTCTCTCTCTCTTTTTGAAAGGCGGAATCGAGTAGATACAATGATAAGATTCTTCTTTAAAGGATCGATGCGAAAAGTAAAAGCGTAACTTTCGATTCCTGGACAATGGCCAAAATACAAAGTTCCATGTTGGTTATCGTACCGGGCAGATATTCTTGAAACGACACAAGTCAGACAGATGCCGTGAGCAAGAAGATTCAACGAACCGAATCGACCACCGACGTTGTTCATAGACGATAGCAGGTTCAAGAGAACACCCTAAACGAGAGCCGACGCGAATAAAATGGATTCGAATCGAGCTATCGAATGATGGATTAACAAACGAAGACTTCGTTATGCATGCTCGAATGCATCGATAATCGCAAAAAAATTTCTTTCATTCGCATTGAATATCGGTGAAAAACGACATGCGATTAATTTTATTATCGTTACATCATAATGAGACTAATGTGAGTTATTATTGTATTGTACTTAAGTAAAATCTCTCTCTTTCTCTCTCTCTCTCTCTCTCTCTCTCTCTCTCTCTTTGTTATTATTGTTCTCGAAGAAATGTATATCGATTTGTTTTATTTCATTATCACTCGTAAGAAAGACCTTCCTGAATGAGTTCATTGTAAAGATGCACTCCATTACAACGACTTCATCATCAACTCGTCTTCTATCAAAGAAGATTAAATAGTTGTGTAACGTGGTTTACTCCAGACGCGATAATATGGCAATAAATCATTTAATTGCGAGATGCACTCCGAAAGCGGCTTGCTTCATGTATCCTCCCTCTTCTCGTTCCTTCGATTCTCACCAAGATTCTCTCCTCCGCATGTTGCCGAGATAACAGGCCCGAGGGTTAATTGTTTCAAACTTGGAACTCACGCGACACGAAATACCGCACAGTATTTACTACGTGTAATTAATTTATACTCGCGCGCAGCCCGCGTTATTTTAATCGCGTCACGTTGAAGACAAAGCAATGTGATGGTCGTATTAAAATTTTACTAAGATAATTTCGATAATATGAAAAATTAAAAAGTCTATATTACATCTATCTGCTAATTAAACAACGTCGGGATCTGTTTTAAGAAATACATTAATTTTTTGGAAATACTACGTTATGAAAGAGTTATAGAAAAATTCATTCGCCCTTCGACATTACCCGGCGTACGGAACAACGAAATTTTTAACATTTCATTCTCGATGCGTGGCGTCTACTTTTCGATGTAATCCACGGTCGTTAAAATTCAAATGAAAATGTAATTCTAGTACAAACAAATTTTCTGAGGCGCAAACTTTTAACGACGTATTTTGAAAAGTATAAGATTATAATTGCTGTGGTGTAACGTGAAAGGAAAGAATAAAAAGAAAAAAAAAGGGAAAAAAAAGAAAAAAGAAAAAGAAAAAAGAAGAGAGAACAAGACGCCGTTGAAATATTTCCTAATGGTGGGAAAAAGATCGCGTCGACGTGGCGTGATTTACAACGATCGGGCCTCTCTCTCTTTCTTTCTCCTTACCTCCCTCACTTTCTCTATCTTCTTCATCTTCTTCTACTTCTTCGTTATACTCATCCCGACTCAACTATATCGAGAAGTTTTCAGTCCTTTTTCGGTGTACGGGCGCCCTTTTAGGCCAGGAATGCAAACTTTCGACATAACTTTTCTTAACCGAGTGACGGTAGTTTCGCCGGGAGATAAGGCGCTCGTCATAACCGCGTCGAGATTTCTCGGAAGAAACTTTTCCCTCCTCGAAAGTAAATCCAACGAGAACGTCCTCCGCCGCTCAAGTTCCCGCACCTTTCGAAGTTGAACTTTCTAGGTCTAAACTTACGATGGCAATACGATCGAACGAGTTAGTTCGTCGAATTACTTGAACGTTTTCTCGCGTTTTTCCAGGGATTAGCAAGGAAAATCGATTGGTTTAAAATATTGATTATCTTCCTTCTCGGCGAGAAATTCAAAAATTTATTTCGATAACTTCGTTATAGTAGTGGTTAAAGGAACCATGGGACAAACGGTGAGTCCGATATTGGATCGATCGTAAAGAGATTGATAATCCTCTTCCGTGGGACGCGACTTTAAAGGAATCTTGATTTATACCAAGCGAATAAGAAAAAATAAAATAGGTTTAGGAAAGGGGGGGGGGAAGAGAGAGAGAGAGAGAGAGAGAGAGAGAGAAATAATATGCCGAGAAAGTAATTTTATCAGGCGCCGATAAGATTCTGTCGACGGATTAGCGCATCGTCAGAAGTTTTCCCCTGACGGGAAATCCGAATCCTAAATTCTGTGAGATCTTGCGCAGAGTTTCCTCCTCCAAGCGCCTTTTCTCGATCTCTCGTCCCGCTGGAAAACGTAGACATCGTAGACATGCCGGTAGTGGATCGACCGAATGGATTAGTCGTTCGTCTAACTACCGGGAGAAACGCTTTCGAGCCATTTCGACGATCTGGATCTTAGCGAAGTCCGCTCCCGTCAAGGGAGTATCTCGTCTGATATCGTTTCAGACGATATTGCCAGTAAATCGTGCCCTTCGAGGACCGCTTGACGTACTTCTCTTCCTAGTTCCTATTAGGAACTAAAACGGCTGATGCTTTAAAACGCGATCCGAAATGAACTTTGCGTATACGCGATACTCTTTAGCTCAATCATTTTATTTACCTTTTAATCGTCTAGGACCGATTAATTCGAAACCAACTTGGTATAAGACTTTCATGATTGCGTTTCTTATCGTAGATATATATATATATATATATATGTATATACATATATACATATACATATGTATATATAGGCAGGTAGACGTTATCGATTGTCCAAATACGAGATAGTTTCCGAGTTATAACCAACGAACGATGGATGAGTAAAAATACTGTCCTAACGGACGATACTCGGCCTTCGAGGCTGCGGTTAACGTGGTCTTTGTCCGGAAATTGGATGATTCGATCGACCATCCCCGTATTACTCTTTAACGAAGCCGAAACACTGTAGACAAGCCTGGAGCTCGAACTTGCGCGCAAACAGGATTGGAAGATTTTGGATAATGGGTGTATCGTGAAACTCAATATCTTTGGTAACAAGCATAGATACATTTTTCTATAAGAGTGATAACGACCGAAGAAAAAAGTATACCGTTCGCATCAACGTGTACCAATGTTATTGAATTGATATAGCGCACGTTTATTAAAGTGCTTTAAGATTGGAATGTGAAAAATTAAATACCTTAATAATCCTACGATGTAATAACATTTTATACGAAAAATAAATTGCTAAAGAATTCATTCTCGTGACCGAACGAACGTGAATTATTCGATTATTATTTCGAAACACCGGAAACATATTATCATCAGCGAACCAATGAAAAAACAATTAATTTACGATTAATTTACCAGGCATCATTTCGTTCGACAATGCCATATGAACATTTTTATTGGCCAAGCTATTTTTCGCAACGAGATTTCATTATCTTGCCGTCAAAACAATTTAAAAATGCCAACATAAACCACGATTGGATACCGTTGCGATCCATTAAAGTTAGCTTCAAATTGAACGCATTCTATCGGATTTCACTTGGGCACCCTCTTGACAAAGAGTTTTCCTGTTTTATCGAACGTTAAGGACATTAAGGATATATCAAATTACAAAAGAGAGAAAGAGATGGATGGTAAGAAAAGAAGAAAGAAAAAAGAGCAGAGAACCAAGAGTATGCAACAAAGGTTTCGTAACTGCTATTCGTGAAAACTTCGTAGAACATCCTATCTCCGGCGAGTCCGACAAACTTGAGTCAGGTTTCTTCTTTTTTCTTTCCTCTTTTTTTCTTCTTTTTCTCTTTTCTTTTTGTAAAAAGAATTACTTGAAAAGCTTTCGCGAAAGGGTACCTTCGATAAAAATGGATTAACTCGTGCTCTCTACCAGAGATGAATTTGTTTAAGCTCTCGCGTGGCTGGCTCGCCTCTTGGTTTCACTTTTAATTACTAAAACTTTTTAAACTTTTCTCTACTTTCTCCTTCTTCCTTTACTCTTCGTTGGGAAGATTAGAGCTTTCTACTTTCTCGTCCGATTATTCGTCGCAAGGACAACGAATTTATGCGTTAAGAATACACGCGGAAATTCGAAGGAAAACCATAACGACGCTTTTGAACTCTCGGTTGTGGGGAAACGGGGGCGGGGGCGGGGGGGGGGGGTGGGAAGGGAGGTGGAGTCACTTAGAGGAACAGTTGGACTTCGTCGATTACGTAAAAAGAGCGAGACACGAAGGCTGCATCGGTAATAAGGCAAAGTTTTAATTTCGCTCGAGATGCATGGACTCCGACGAAACGAGGTAACTTGGAGAGAAACGAAAGGAAAAAAAGAAAGAGAAAGAGAAGGAGAAGAAAAGAGAGAAGTTTAGCTCGTAACGATTCGACAGAAGGAACGAAAAGGAAGGAGAACGTCGTCCATTTGATCGATCGTAGAAAATCGTTCAATGTACTGCAAAGGGACAGTTTATTATTCCACAGCCGTGAAGGTAGTTCGGAGCGAAGAGGAACTCTCCTCGAACGCTTGACTCCTCTTTTCCCTTTGGACAATTCCTCCTTGTTCTCCTTAGGCTCTTTCTTTTCTCCGAATAAGGATGTCTTCGTCATGCCATCCAGTCGATGGCTCGCACCACACCCTACCTAGCTAGCCCTCGTTTCGCTCGGGTTCCGTTTGCTGCGCACTAACGAGACACATCGATTCGATTCGTAAAGGCGAACTTTCTTCGAGGAAATTCGTCAGCCCTGATTAAGGCATAGAATTACGCGGCGGAGCACACGATAATGAAATTTAATCCTTCATTAAGAACTATCGCTCCTACTCTCCCCGGTCAGTTAATTATCGTCCGCTCCGAACAATCGAGTTGGTTCTAACGTTGGTTCGACGTGAATTAAAACTAAACGTCTCGCTTTTCAATTTCTATTATCTTTCTTCTCGAGACTATAAAAAAATTTCTAAAGCCGATCCTTAATTTTCAAACGTGCCCTCTATACATGTACCAATTTCAATCCTAGAGAATAAGGATAAGAGAGTTAAACTATTGTACTTACAGTATCACGTTAGATTCGTTTCCGTAACTCATTGCCCAGTCTAATCCTGACACCGTACGACTTCACTATGGTAAACCACAGAAGCGTCGGGAGCAACGGCAAGAGTCTCGAACCCGCCGGTGTTCATAGTCGATTCCATTATCGGAAGACTTATCTCCGTTCGCTTGATTAGTTCCTTCCGCAGCGACGAAGAGACGAGAGCACATTCGCTGAGGATCACCGTCCGTTCACCGCAAAGCAAAGTGCCATCGCCTCTCTTTCGCGGTCCTTTTCGTTTCTGAGATCAAAAGTAAAATCATTCGGAGCTTGAATAGAATCTGAGCTATCTTCCTAGTCTTTACGAATACTTTTCGCTTCAGAACGTGTTATCTGCACTAAAGAATTTCCGTTTTTAATCGACACTTATCTTTAAAGGTTTTCTTAAAGACATCGAAATCGAGATCGATCGAGCGTTTCCATTCACTGCCTTTGGAATAGTTTATAGGATGGATTAACTTGAGAGCTTGTCGAGAAAGTTCTTAATGTAGTAATGAAAACAGAAAGAACAGGAGGGTGAGAATGTAGAGGGTGCGGATGGTAAGAGACGGAAAGAAAGAATGGAAGAGAAGGAGAAAGAGAAACAATCGACCTGCCATGATTCGGACGAGTGTGCAAAACGAAGAGAGAAGACGAGTGAGCTGAAAAACTCGAATAATGTCGACGACCATTGTTCCCCATCCGTTCTGAAGTGCATTTAATCCGATAAAAGAGCAGAGAGTCGAGTTTCTCAAAACGCTGTACACGAATTACCATCGAGCAATCCGGATGTCCTCGTTCCTCCTCTTCCCTGTAAGAAGTTAAGTATTTCCCACCAGAAAAGTCTCCTTCCATCCGAAAAGAACAATCCCCTTACGTTCTTTCTTTTATCCCAATGTTTCCGATAAAGCCATCGACGGCACTTCATTATCCATTGACTTCTCAACGAGTTCGCGACTAGTCCGACAAACGATTAAGACGCACTTCGATTTAATTTTCGAGTAAGTAAGCGGTCGCGTAAGGAATCCTTTCTTGATCTAAAATATATGAGAATTATAAAATCTACTCTTTCAAATATGTAACCATACTTTCAACTTGGTTCTCACCCCATCGATGGTTTAATTAAAATATAAAACTTTTTGAATATTTACGTAAATCTAAGCTCCCCAAGAGTTTCGGTAAGGACGGATGGAGGGGATGAAAGGAGAGAGGATAGCTCGTAAACTTCCTCGATGCCTCTTGCTTTAGACTCATGATTCTTGCAAAACTTTGACGTGAAAGCGGATATTTTAGGCGGTATAAAGAGAATCTAGACACGTAATCCTCTCCCTCTCTCTCTCTCTCTCTCTCTCTCTCTCTCTCTCTTTTTCTTTCTCTTCCCTCTTTTTCTTCCATTAAATGCAAATAAAAGAAAGACGAAAAAGGAAAAACGAGTTTGTTTGTACCGAAGGATTTTCAATTTACGATCCGTCGTCCGTACTTAAGAAGCTTTCACAGATACGGTCACAGACGAACAAATAAAAACGTAAATAAATATTTGTCATATTTATGATGGACATCAAGTAAAGGACTTTGAAAGTCGATATCATCGAAGCAGAGTGGCGCAGTGGAAGCGTGCTGGGCCCATAACCCAGAGGTCCGTGGATCGAAACCACGCTCTGCTAAGGGAAAAAGGACACCCTATCCGCTAAAAAACGAGGGTTCTTTATTTTTTACAAATTTTTTTAAAATCATCTATCTTCATCGAACAGATTTTCTTTATTTAAAATGTCGAATTAAATATTCCAAATGTTGTAATCGTTAAGAAAAAAGAAAAATTATTACTTTATCTAAAAGTATTCTTCAAAAGTATTTCCTATCTCTGTCAATAAAATAATATTCCAAACTTTTTACAAATATTGAACGTCATTATAAGGAGATCAATAAATCCATTCTACTTATTCGTCGAAATTATTAATCCAGTTAAAATATAGGATCTCATTGAAGTGAATCACATTAAACGATTCGATCTTGTCGAAATCATAAGGCGATTGCTCACAGGGCAATAATCCTTAGTGCGAAGGCAAATTGAAACGTTGGAACGTGCTGCACGTAAATTAGACCAACTGGTAGACGCGTTCCGCTTATCGACCCTTTTACCGATTAGGACGACGTTGAGGAGGTCGATGACGTTAAAGGCGACGATGAAGGCTCGAGATCGAAAAGACGCACACGCGTGGGACGTCGTTGAAGAGAGAACTAGAGAGAGAGAGAGAGACCGTAAATAGATCTCGAGAGGATGCAACCCCTTTGCTCGAATCGATACCCGCACCAGCAGGCTCTCACGCAGATATTCTACTCACCCTTCGCGTCTCACTGACTTGACAATTGTGTCTCGTACGCGTGCTTCGTCCTCGTGCTCCGTCCGCGTGCCTTGTCCGCGTGCCGCCCCCGTCAAAGCACTCGCTTCAAAGGCATTACGTACGAGATTCATGGAGATACATGTACATACGCGTATACGTATGTGTGCTTCTGATTATTAGCGTGGAAATTGTAATAATAATTATCTCTTGATACGAGATCGATAAGAAAGCTTTCCTTCGATCACTTTGGATCGAATTTCTTTCGAAAATGACACAGGCTCCGCCTTAGTTCTCTTTTTTTTTTGATCCTATGAAGAAAGAATAATTTCAATGAGAGAAAGAAAAATAGAGTAAAAAGGAAAACCAGGAATATCCTGGTAAAGATAGTATGTGGATATGTACATTATATTATCTTTCCTAACCAGAGACAATCGATAAAAAGAGTACACCGAGTGATCAACCTGTGTCGAGGAAATTTCACAAGATGCATGGCTGGTTCTTGCCCGATGCAACAATTTTTGTTACTACTTTGCTGTTCATAGAAAAATCTACTCGTACCAGATTGGTCCCGCGATCGTTTTACCTTTCTTTGTCATCGGTGCATTCTATATACTTACTTACCTAACTTGCTTGGTGTCTCCTAAAAAATATGATTGATCTAGAGCCATCCCCAACGAGCTAGAACCTTCGGTACACATAACTGGTCGAGCACACCCTTCGTCATTCTGTCTCTTTCTCTCTCCCCTTTTCACCGTCTATATATGCATATACATGCTTACATATATACATATATAAATGCACATACACACACACACACACATATATATATATATATATATATATATATATATATATACGAGATGCATTAAAAAACTCAAACAATGAAGCGAGTAAATAAAGCGCATAGCCGCGCTCTGTTTTGTCAGGCGTAGTGCTTGTTTTTCCTACAGCGAACGACGTGTCCACCGAGCAAACTCCTCCATTACTTTCAAGTAAGTACATTAAAATCCCTTCCGTATTCCTCCTCTTTCCCGTTTGCTTCCCTCCAACCACCCTTTATCTTCATCGCTCTCTCGTGTCCGATAGCTTCCATCGATTCTCTCTCTCTCTCTCTCTCTCTCTCTCATGAGCAGTACTCCCGCACGTTTTCCGCATGGCTACCTCCATCCCAATAATTTTGTCTCTACTCGTAGAAATTTTCTCTAATTACGCGTACACCGATGTGTCACTTCAAATCTTCATTTATTTGCGATATAAAAGGCACGATATAATAATTTGACAATTATTTCTAAAATCTTTCCAATATTTTAAACTATAATTTGCAATAATTAGCAAAAGTTTAGTCGATAATCGTTTCTTCAATTAGAATATTTTTATCGATTTGGAAATATTTAAAACCTTAAGAGATTGAAAAGAATTAAAAAATTAAGAAGATTCAAGAACGTCGCTAGATTTTATTTCTCTTCGTGAAACAAGAGGTCAGACGATCGGAAGCCTGGCTTTTTTGTTCATCCATCGTTGAACGGTTCGGCGATTCTTTCAAGGAGTATAATCCTTCTTCTCTTTTTCGTGGCTAAATGAAAATGGACTCGTGAAAGCAATATCCATAGAACAAAAGAGAAGCTAATGAAAGTGTCCGGTAGCAGGAGGTACCGGCTAGGAACGTCGCGTCGTCGTCATCATCGCTAACATCGCTACCACCCTCCTGGATGATGCGGCAACGAGCAAAGGATAGCATCTACCTTTCTTGCTTCTTTGAGGGAGGACCACTCATAGAATTCAGTCGAGGTTCTTCCGACCTTTGTTTCCGTATATCTGATAGCCGGACCTTCGCACTACCTTTTCTCTCTCTTTCTCTCTCTCTCTCTCTCTCTCTCTCTCTCTCTTTCTCTCTCTCTACGACATCCCTCCAGCGAACCCACCAAACTTTCCGCTTCATCGGGGAACCGTGAAAAATCGAAGAGAGCTCGTAAATGAGTAGAAAAGAAACGTAGGATGCCCTGACCTGTGTAAAGCGCGTGCTTGGTAATTAAGACTCAACGAAACGGACGACTGCGCTATAAAACGAGGAAAGATGATAGAGATCAATGTTGTTTTTAGTCTGTAGAGACTATTTGCTATTAAATAAGAATATGCAAAAGTAAATAAAAACTCACTGTAATATTAAATAAATAAGCGTTATTTGTATAGAAAAGTTACTATAGTTAATTGTTACGTTGTAATGAAAATTTTAATCAAACGAATAGAGTTTATTAGCTCGACATAATATTGTTATTTCTTAAATATGTTTACATCGATCCTTTCTGACAAGATAACATAAGATAACACGAGATAACGAAGACAAAGCTCGATAGAACAAGTTTTCTCGGCAAGACTTATTATCAAAGTTTATTATACTTCAGAATAGTTGAACCCGTATCCATCTTTGTCTTCTTCTATCTCTTTCCTATAAAATAAGTTCGACCTATGCATCGCGCTCACGTTTTCGGGGTTGATGATGGACATATCGCGGCATAGCAGGCGGACCCTCGTCAAATCGACCTTTTTTTGTGTCCGACTTTAATACGCACGTGCGAGTTCGTCCATCCCTTCGTACACACATACGCACACGCATACGTAGGCGCACGTACGTACGTTGATACGTATTGTTCACCAACCCAACTCCGGGAAAACGAATATGATTTCGAACAAGATAACATTGGATTCGCAAAACTTTACGATAACGCATTAGACTGATTAAGCCTCTCGTGATTTTAATCAGGATTCGTTTGCAAGCTATAATAACTTTTTGACGGTTTGTTCTATATTTTAGCAAATAATTAAAATCATATAAACGTGAATACAAAAGACATATCGTAATTTAGTCGAAATAAAAAGTTTCTCAAATCATTGAAATTCCAAAGTAAAGCGAGCTTTTTTT